GGCCCGGCCGCGGCGCCCGCCCCCCGCGCCCCGCGCCTCGGCCCAGGCCGCCCGCGGACTCTGGGCACCTGTGGCCGGCGGCTGCCCAGGAACCGTGTCACGCGGCCCCTGCTGACCCCAGCCCGGTCCACCCAGCGGGGCCGAGCTAGGGCCCCGGCCCGGGCCCTGCGGAGCGCGATGGTCCCCCGGGGCGACCCCTGAGCCCCTTGCCGGATCCGGGGCTCTGCCTCTGGGCCGCGCCCCCACCTGAGAGTCGTCACCAACTTCTGCCCGGGAACTCCACTCTGCCCCTTCTCTTGGCCCAGGGCGACCTCGGCAGCCCTGACAGCCCGGACCCTCCGGTGTGCCCAGAAGGGTCCCCCGGAGTGGTCTGCGCCTCCCTGGATGGAGGCGCCTCCAGAAGGAGCCGGCTGAATGCTCTGGCCTTCACCTTGCAGCCTCCGCTGACCACACCTCCCCGAGTGCAGGGGTTGCCGCCCCGCCCGCCCGCCGGAAATGCTGTCCCAGGTGAGGCCCTCGGTTGCCTCTCTTAGGAGGGTTTGCACTGACTTTGGGAAGGCCCAGGGAGGGGGAGTCAGCCCGGGTGAGGGAGAGGGGAGACCTGGGTGTGGGGCCACCTCTGCGAGGTGGGTTCAGGAGCACGACAGGCCGGCATCCCCTGCCCTGGGCTACAGTGCTCTGAGGACCTGGCTTCTCAGGGAGCTGGGGTGGCACCTGACGTGTGTGGCCTGCCGGTGGCCTTGGAAGGCTGGACGAGCTCCCAGACCAGAGCACCCAGGAGGCCTGGGGAGACCGAGGGAATTGACATCCTTTGAAGGCGGCAGGGGAAATGTGACATGGACATTCATTCTTCTGCCTGAGAGCACCCCTGAATGTCCCTTTATGACTCTGGCTCACTGCCTCTGGAGGGCTGGTTCCCTCAATCATGTCTCAATGAGGAGTGACCACCAGCTCTACTGGGGCTGAGATGGAGCCCCCAGAATAGCCAGGAGAAGCTGTCACCTCCCACCTTCCTTCCTCCCTCTCAGCACAGCCGGGTCCCAGAGACTCCGGTGTGACCGACAGGATGGAACTGGAGCCGGCAACAGAGACCTTCGTGTTGGAGCTTCGATGTCTTGCGGATGGAGGCCCAGGGCCTGACACCCTCTCAGGTGAGGGCTGGGGAGGGATGGTGAGACTTGCCCAGTGAGGGTCCTTTGACAGAACGCAAGGCCAGCTGTGGCAGAGAGAGGTACTCTGGTGTGGCTGGCAGCCCACACCCACTAAAACCTGCAGCTTCAGCTGCCTTGAGTCACACCTGCATGTTGGCCCTGGGATTTTCCCAGGTGGCTCAATCAGCCTGAGGTCTTCCTGGCAAGGGGACCCCCCACACTGGTGCTAGCCGGAACTTGGTCCCAGATGCCCCATAGTCAGGTGGCTCCACCGTCCTCCTACCTGGCCCTGGTTCTGGTCCCCAGTTCTCGGATGTACTCTGGGACAAAAATACTCTCCTCTTTGCCCCTTGTGCCTCAGGCATTGACTCTGGCTTCTTTCTCTTGTGGCCTCTCCCCCTGTCCACTTCTCCTACACCACTGCTTCCATCTGTTTTTCTCCACCTGATGCCAGAGGCAAATGTGCTGCCAAGTCTTCAGGACCTCTATGAGCCTTCTACCGTGGCCGTAGTCAGGAGAGCCTGCTTCCTGTTGGGCACTTAAGGGCACTGAATAGGGCCCAGAGCAGAGTTGAACAGAGCTTGGAAGGACAGATGGCATTGGAAGGGTTGATGAGGACATATGGACTAAACAAAATCTCTCTTTTTTTTTTTTTCCCTTCAGTACTGGGGATTTTACCCAGGGCTTTCACACTGAGTTATATCCCCACCTCTTTTTAAAAATTTTTTTATTTTCAGACAGGATCTTGCTAAGCTGCGAAGCTGTCCAGGCTGGGCTTGAATTTGCTTGAACTTCTGCCGAAGCTTCCCAGAGTGCTGTTATGACAGGCATGTGCCTGGCTAGGATCCTTCTGATTTATAAATTTAACTGACAATCTTGCAAGGGTATACATATTAAGCAACACTTAAGTACATATTTACAAGTTGTCTTTGATAAAAATGCTGGAATTACTGCCCCAGAAAGTCACAGTGAGAAGGTGGCTAAGCTAGGTATGAGAGTCACACAGAGGTATGATTTGTCCCTGTGGCTCCCAGAGGAGGTGGGAGAAGGGAGTGCCTAAGAGACCTCAGACTTGCTACAGGGACAGGTTTTCATGGCTGTCTTCATCCACTACCTGCATACCCCCAGCTGGTGTGAGTGACTCTGAAAAATGCACTCCCTGATTATTACCCTGAGCAAGGATCATTAGAAATATTTTTCTAAAAGAGGATTATATACATGTAGATATCCTTTGGTTTTATTAAATCAATATATTCCTGGAGAAATGGCCAGAAAGCAAAAATTTTATCAGTCAAACCACTGGTTTCTATTAAAAAATTTAAAACAGGATCTTGTGGGAAGAACATATGTTGAAATTGAATTTGCAAAAAGAGAAATTCCTAGGTTCACACGTGTAATGAATTAGGGTTTTCTGATAGTAAAATATTAATATTTAGTGGGCTGGGGATTTAGCTCAGTGGTTCCGGTGCCTGCCTCACAAGCGCAAGGTCCCAAGTTCGATCCCTGGTACCAAAAAAAAGAAATATTTAGAGAAACTGAATTTGGGCGTTGTGCAGAAGGGAAAAATGTAGTAATGGAGTAACTCCCATGTTTGCACCTCACCCCTCACCCAGTACTGAGGCTCTACATTGATCCTGTCTGGATTTCAGTGTTCCCAAGAAGGATATATCTCCTTTTGCAAAAAGGGAAACTGAGGTTCCATGAAATTAATTAGCCAGTCTCCACGAGGCTTAGTCCTTTTTCATTCTTGAATGTCAACCCAGAACACTTTTAGTCTGAGTGTTTCAAACAGAGCTAGTTGAATCCTGAGGATCTCCAAGTAGAGGGAATTTTCAAGCACCTGGAAGGCCATAGAGAATGTTCCAGGCTCTTGACCCTTTAGGGGACAGGACAGCTGCTAATCGGAAGTCAGGTTCTGAAATGAGGGCTGCCCACCTGAAAACTGGTTTCAAATCACTTTGGTGATTTCTCAAAACTGTTTGTGGTACCCCTTCCAGGCAGCTTTGGAGAAGTGCTTATTATTTACAGAGAAGCTGGGTTCATTTATTGAAGGTGTGGCCATCACTGAGGTGATGGCTTCAACATGGCTTCAGCCACTGGAATGGGTGGTTCTCTGATTTCCAGTGAATGTGGATGAAGCACAAGGGACTTCACCGAGAATGGTGTTGGGAGCCATTGGCACATGTCTTAGTATAGGTGCCAAGATCTAAGCTTGTATGAAGGGAAGCCCAGAGAAGAGGTTAGGGAGCTGGGGACCAGAGTGAAGTGACCAACATTCCCTTGGGCACATATCTAAGCAAGCCTCCATCCCTGGCATTTCACTGTCTGTCATGCTGCTACTGTCTGTTGATCTAATGCTTTTAGGTCTCTGCTGAGCTCATTAGTGCATGAGTGGCTGTGTGTGGGAAGGGTAAGGGGCAGAGTGGGGGACTGGACCAGACAGGTGCCTGTAAATGCTTCTCTCCTGGCTTCCTGCCGTTTCCATTACAGGTGGCAGCGGTGGTAAGGAGAGTCAAGAGGAGGAAGAGAGGAGCGGCAGCCCACAACTACCAGCAGCGTCATCCCCAAGAGAGGCCAGTAACATCACTGAGGAAGCCCATTCAGGACAGCAAGAGTTGCAACAGCAACAGTTAGAGCAGCAGCCAGAACTGCAGCAACAGTCACAGTATGAGCCACAAAAGCAGCAACCACGGAACCAACTATTAGAACATCAACCAGAATTACAACAGGAGCAGCAGGATGGGAAACAGCAGCTGCCTCAACTTCAGCAGGAACTACAGGAAAATCACCAGTCCATGCAACACCAGAAACCGACGCCACAGCTGCAGCTAATGCAACAGCATGGACAGGTGGAAGGGCAGGTGCAAGAGCAACAATTGCAGCAGCAGCAGCAGGAACAGTTACAGCAGCAGCAGCAGCAGAAGCAGGTGCAAGAGCAACTCTTGCAGCAGCAGCAGCAAGTGCTACAGCAGCAACAACTGTTACAACAGCAAGAACAACTACAGCAGCAACAGTTCCAAAAGCAGCAGAAGCAGCTCCAGCAACAGCAACTACTGTTGCTGCAGCAGCAGGAACAGTTACAGCAGCAGCTGTTGCTCCAGCAGCAGCAGGCACAGATTCAGCAGCAGCTTTTGCTGCAGCAGCAGGGGCAGCTCCAGCAACAGCAGCAGGAGCCTCTGCAGCAGCCTCCTGCTGCATTGGACCCAGAGGAGGAGGAAGAGGTGGAGCTGGAGCTCATGCCCGTGGATCTGGGGTCAGAGCAGGAGCTGGAGCGGCAGCAGGAATTGGAGCGGCAACAAGAGCTGGAACGGCAGCAGGAGCAGAGGCAGCTGCAGCTCAAACTACAGGAACAGCTGCAGCAGCTGGAGCGGCAGTTGGAGCAGCAGCAGTTGGAGCAGCAGCAACTGGAGCAGCAGGAGGTGCAGCTGGAGCTGACCCCCGTGGACCTGGGCGCTCAGACGCAGGAGGTGCAGCTGGAGTTGACGCCCGTGCAGCCCGAACTACAGCTGGAGCTGGTACCCGCTGCTGCAGGGGCGAACGGGGCCGCGGTCCCCGGGGCCCCGGCGGCCGTCGTGGTGGCTCCTCCGGGTTACGTGGTGCTGCAGGAGCTCATGGTGCTGCCCGCCGTGGCCGCACCGGCCGTGGTGGCCATCCCGGGCCCGGCAGGCAGCGCAGCACTGACCCCCGCGCGGCAGCGGCGGCGGCGGCGCGCGCGGGACCGGCCGACCATCTGCGGGGAGTGCGGCAAGGGCTTCAGCCGCAGCACGGACCTGGTGCGGCACCAGGCCACGCATACGGGCGAGCGGCCGCACCGCTGTGGGGAGTGTGGCAAGGGCTTCTCGCAGCACTCCAACCTGGTGACCCACCAGCGCATCCACACGGGCGAGAAGCCCTACGCCTGCTCCTACTGCTCCAAGCGCTTCAGCGAGAGCTCAGCGCTCGTACAGCACCAGCGCACACACACGGGCGAGCGGCCCTATGCGTGCGGCGACTGTGGCAAGCGCTTCAGCGTCTCCTCCAACCTGCTGCGGCATCGGCGTACTCACTCGGGCGAGCGGCCCTACGTGTGCGAGGACTGCGGTGAGCGCTTCCGCCACAAGGTGCAGATCCGCCGCCACGAGCGCCAGCTGCACGGTGCGGGCCGCTCCCGGGGCCTCGGTCTGCTGCGCGCACCGCGGCCCGCGCCCCCCGGCGGAGCTCCACGCCCCCAGCCAACCTCGGGAGCCGCTGCTCCCGCAGCGGACAGGCGCCCTGATGCGTGATGCGCGCGCCTGGGGGGACTGGAGGGCCGGGGAGCACGCAGGGGACGCGGGTCGGTGTCACCTGTGCCGCCCCTTGGGCGCACATGTGGAGATGGCCAGACACCTCGCTCCCAAGTTCTTGGTTTCCTGGAATATCCATGGAAAAGAAAAGACTTCCTTCCATCATCCTCGGATTCCTTGAGAAGTTCCAGGTTCACAGATTCACACCCACCCCCCAGAATCCATCCGCAAGATTTATGATAGCACAGGGGAAGCCAATGGCTAAGGCAGAGTTGGCCACATTGTTTTCTTTCTCTTGCAAAAAATAAAAAAATAAAAAAAAAATCAGACTTTGCAGAAACAAGAGTCATCTGAGAAATAAGATGTCTGTATGGAGAGACATGCAGGGAGAAGATGAATCTTGATGAGAAGTATTTCAAGGAGAAAAACTGGCAGGGTGGAGAAACTTATGTGGACCAGGTAGAAAACTGACCGAGTCATTGAATTGTCCTCTTGGTGGCTTTTGCCTTGAAAATACACGTTAGGATGGAAATGGGTCAGGGTGGATATGATTCTGATGGAAACGCCCATGTTTGCAACTATGTGCAGGGGGCAGGGTGCAAACAAGTGCCCGGAAGCCCTGCTGTGGACGGAAGGTAAACCTTCCTTCTAGGGCAGCCCGGGGTTCTGTGTGGGCAGGTCGTAGAGGCTGTTGTAACCCTATGCTGCCACATTTGCAAGCCCCCTACGGCCCCTTAGCATCTCCTGGGGTAACGATCTGTGGCTAATGCAGAGAGCGTTCTGGGGTTCTCGCCAAGGTCTAGAAGAGCCTCCTGCCCCCACACACAGCTTGGTACAGCCCCGCCCTGGCTCAGGTTGTTCAGATGCTGCTGGGGGGGGGGCGGGGGCGGG